GGCAGGGAGCGGTTTGCTGGAGTACGTGAGGAGAAAGGGCCGTCGGTGGCGCGAGTGACCCCGTTGTGCTGCCGGTGGAACTCGCAGCAGAGGCCGGGCGGGGGTAAATGATTACAGCTGTGTTTGCCGAGTGCTACTGGTACCTCCCCAGAGAGCTGCTTATTCACCAGCTGCCGTAGTCTGTGCCCTTCTTGGAAAATGTGGTGTGCAGCCTTCCAGAAACGGTTACAGGCCTGGAAGAGTGTCCTGGTCCGACAGGGTCCTGGTGCCTCAATCCCAGTAAAACTAGGACAAAGAGAAACTGGATTCATCTTATCTGCCAATTTGTGTCGGTAATGATGGGAGGTGCCTGGAGTAAGCAGTGCAGACAGAGGAAGCTGGACTGCTGTGAAGGTGGGGCGTGAATGTGCTGCTTTCAGACTTAAAATGAACGAATAGATGACAGGGCTTAGGAACATCTTGTAAAGGAATACTGACGTTCAGATGCTCAGGAGGGGTTAAAGGGAAGTCCAGGCCATGTTCTGCTGAAGTCACCACACTTAAAACGGTCTTATTGCAGTCAGGCAGTTTGCAACTTGCAGGGTTGCAACACCTACACTTGCTCCACATTTGAAGCCAGTATTAAGTGATGCCTCTTGCTTTCTGTAAAGAGGATTTCTGGAAATAAAGCAGTATCCTCCTTCATCACCTGTGGGCTTGGAGGCTGTGAATCTGCTGGTCCAGAAGGGCTGGTAAGGGCAGCACTGACAGAGCATGGGCACAGTTTTTTGGGTTCACTTCTCACCCCAGCTGTATCAACAGCTGTCCCATGATTGATTATTTTCAATCTGCTGTGAAGTCAGAGCAACAAATACATCTTTAACATTAATCTGGTTTACCTCATTTAATCCATTCTGCCCAAAGGTGGGGATGGTGTCATTGCCAGGTATGTGGCTGTTGTCCCCTCGGTCAGGCTGAGGGCTCTGAATTTGAGGAGTTTGATCCCTTGCTGTTGCAGGACTGGGGGGGTCCTACACCATCAGTGAGCGTCACCTCCCTTGTGGTGCTACTGATTTCTCACCTCACTGGTGTGAGTTCTGCAAATACCCAGTGTTAAAAGAATGGAGACTTTTAGAAGTTGTCCAAAGCACCTTATAATCCTCAGTTTGTGGGTGGTTTTTTCTTTTACAACTGATCCTTTGTGTTGGTCCTGGTTACGGAGTGACTGTGAGGTGAAGAGATTGATTTCTTGCTGCTTGCCAGTCACCTGATTCCTCAAGGGGCTTAGTCGTGTTTGTGTACCACACACTGACACAAACACTGGCCAAAACGTTGCAGGCAACTCTCGACTGTTTCAAAAATTCCTCTTGGTTTAGTTGGTGGTGTTGCAGATCACTGTGCTCTCATAACTGTTTGCAAATTCTTTGCCGTGTGCTGCTCGGAGGTTCCTGGTTGGCAGCACCCACAGAGATCAGGTGTTCAGTGAGTAGAAAACAGAATAAAATGCAGTTGGTGTAGTTTGCATCTCATGACTCAATTAGCCAGAGCTAAGGTGAAGAACAGAAGATGAGCCTGCCTTTGCAGAGAGTCGCTTGTGAATGACTGGACATTTGATGAGTTTGATTTTTTTCTGTGGCTATTACTTTTGTTTGAGAAAACATTTGTGCTCTCTATGTGGCCTTATCAACCAGGAGTGAGCTGGTGTCTCTGCAGTCAGGAGGACCCAGGAGCAGTTGTGTGGCAGTTAATAATTTCTCTTTACAAGATCAGAATCAGCTGTGTGGCTGCCCTTGTCTCTGGTGTGATAAGCATTTAGCTGGAGTTACACAAGGTTTAGTTTTGTTTCATCTTTGTAAACTTGTTTGGTCCAGTTTTTGGCTTGGGTTCACTCCTGTTACAGCTTCTTCAGGTGGAGGGGGTTGCTCCTGCAGGAGGATCACAAGGAGTTGCTTATTCCTTTAAGTTTTAGCTCTGAGATCCTCATTTCTTCTCAATGCCAGGTCCATGTGCTCCTATCTTAAACAAATAGTGCTGTGAGCATCAGGCTAAAGCTTTTGGTCTCTTCAGGTCTGTGGAGGGGGAATGTGTAATTAGTTTAACTCGAGGTAGGTGAACCTTAGAGCAGTAGAGTCCCACTTAGTGACCCTCAGACTTCCATGTCTGTAGCACTGCACTTTGAAGAACTGAGAGCAGCTTTTTTAAGGTTAGAGGCAGGAAAATAACGCTGGAATCTGTGACTGCTTTTCCTGCTGTAGTGCAATCAACATGCGATTGATGCAAGAATTTAAAGCTGGCTTTAAAAAAAACCAACAACAAAACAAAACAAAACAAACCTGCTGGGTTTGGCCATTTAAGTTTTCTGTGGCAGGATGTCAGAGAGCTCAGGTCAGCTTGAACCATTCAGGGTTTGTGTGCACACAGACTGATCAGTCTGTGAGCTCTTCTAGTCCAGCTTTCTGGAAGGAAGTTTGAATTTTCCACAGTGGGGCAGCTCCGAATGGATGAGATGTGATCTGCAGGCTGAGATGCAATCTGCAGGCTGGTTTGGTGATGCTGGAAGGAAGAGGTTGTGGTTGGGCTTCTGAGAGGCTTTGCAAATGACTTGGCTCTCTGCTTGTCATGTGATGGTCCTGGTAGTTTAAGTGTTGCAAGAGCTGATAGGATCCCTAGGGAGTGTGTTTTCAAACCCCTTTAAACTGGGTGCACTAGGGCTTTGCAGGCCTTGGTGTAACTCTTGACTGCTCCTGTGTGAGAAGAGCAGCGTGGTGAGCCCTGAAGCTTGAGTACTGCAGGAGTTGTAACCTCGGCTGGGGCTGGACCATGGGCACATGTTTGGGACAGAGCAGTGCCAGCTTTAGCCAGGAGGAAGCGAGAGCAGCGAATGTGTTTAGGGGAGCGGCTACTGGGTGCTCTGGTGCTTCCTCCCCTCTTCAGTTACTGCTGCCCTTTTGCTGTGGTACTGGTCAGGGGGAGGGAGTGAAGGAGAACAGCTTCTCTGGGAACTTAACTGCACGGTGTGAGGCTTCGTCTGGCGCCTTCTCCCTTCCCCTTTATGGGCACCATGAGCTCGCTGGGGCTTTCTAGAGTGTGCTTGGCTGGGTGCTCTGCTCCTTTGAGTGTCCCTTGAGACCTCTTGCTGTTCTGCTTCCTGCTTCGCTTGCTGTGGCCCCTTGTCAAACTCCTCCTTTACCTTCTGTCCCTTCGGCAGTGCTGGCTCTGAGTGCCTCTATGTCCCTAGGTGGGTGTAGCTTAAGCGTGGAGTCTGTTCTCTGAATAAATCCATGAGTTTGTTTTCCCCTCCAATGTTGAGCTCTTAAACCTGTGGTAGGTTTGGGACCCGACCAGGTTGTCAGTCTGAGCTTGACAGACTCAGGCTTGGCCAAAACAAAGTGAGCCCTGATGCAGTGGGGTAGTGATTGCATCTCAACTTCACGGTGTCGTTAACAGCTCTGCCTTCCTCCTTCCACTGGTGCTGTGATCATTTGTGCATCAGCTCACATGAAAGCACAAGCTTTCCAGGGCAGACCTGTCTGCGTGGATCTGTAGGACCGACCCGTGATACAGACGAGATTGATGGGTCACTTCAGTCAGCGCCAGAGGGGTGGGGAGTCTGGCTGGGCAGAGCCTATGTGCAGTCATTCTGCCTGTGGTTTTTGGATCCTGAAGCTAAACCCCTGCTTCTCTGCTGATGTACCTATTTCTAGAGAGGTCTTGAAGTGACTGTGTTGTATTGCAATAGGTATGTGATCCTTCCAGCCAGAATGCAGGTGTTTTCAGGCGCACAGTATGGGGACAATCAAGTGCAAAGTGACAAATAAGATTTTTGGGTTTTGCAGGGTCAAAAGTCTTCCTAAGCCTTTCCTAAGCAGATAAGAGGCTTATGGATGCAATGGATCAGCTGAGCAGATGTCACAGCTGTGGTTTCACATGTTAAGTCTGTCAGTAGATTAATGTGATGATACTTGAGCTGATTAAGCGTGTGCCTTTATGTGACAGTGGGCCTATTTTCCCAACTCTGTCCAGTTTGATACGTACACAAGAATGTTGGCTGTAGAAATGGGGTGTTGCTGAAGATAAGTAGGTTGTGCACGTGCTGTCTCCCTTTCAGAAGTGCCAATGATGCTCTTTTACAGACGTCTCGGGACAACATGTGCTCAGTGAGTGTCCCTAGGCCAAGAAAAGGGGATGTGTGTGGTGTGACTCTAAGCCAGTGCAGTTTTTCTACTTCAGTTTGATAGCAATCAAAGTCAAGGCTTCACCCTGAGCAGTCATGTGCTGGGCACAGTGGCTTGGGCTGTGCAAGGAGCCGCTGTTCATATCGCTGCGAGACGGTCGCTTCCTTTCTGAGCTGGGGCTCGCTGCTGCAGGCAGATTTTTCCACAACAAAGAAGAAGAAACCTAAGAGTCAGTTGAAGAGGAAAAAAACAATGTACTAGAAATCTTGGCAGAAACAAGGTAGGCAAAATTCGTTATGGGATCACCGACTGTAGGACATTATGTGGTTCCAGTAAGAAAAAACCTTTCTTTTGGAGGTTACTGGTCACAGAACCTCAAAGGAGAAATGAGAGAAGCTTTCTGATAATGGTGTCCTGTTGAAGTATCGAACAACCGTGTCCCATAAATGTTGAGGGCTGAGACAATACCGTTGAAATTGTGATGGTTTCTCTGCCAAAGAGCGCGAGTCTGATCCTTGCAGTGTTTTTATTCACAGATAACGTGGAGTCATGGCTATCCTGTTCGCTGTCGTGGCGAGGGGCACGACCATCCTTGCCAAACATGCCTGGTGCGGAGGGAACTTCCTGGAGGTGACAGAGCAGATCCTGGCGAAAATACCATCCGAAAACAACAAACTGACCTATTCACATGGGAAGTGAGTAATGCTGCTCCTCTGGGTAAGGGAGGAGAGACCAGGGACCATGCACGAGGGTAGAAATGAATAGAATGCAGCCAAATTCATCCTTGGTTGTGTTAGTGCGCTGATTGAACACACAGGCAGCTCGGTAGCTACATGTTTTACCCCAAGAGCTTTGCAGCATAACCAGAATTTGAATTTAGCTTAAAGCAAACGAAAATTACTGCTTAGCTTTAGCTTGAGTGCCATTCAAGCACCTGCAAAGTTTTAGGAGTTTTAGGAGTAGTGCGTTTTCACAGATGAAAACTTGAATTGTGGTAGAGAGTGGTTTGCTCTGGGGAGCACTGAGAGGTAGGTGACGAATGCATCTCCGCTCGCAAAGCACACTGCGAAGGGTACGATTTTTTGCTCATTACTGACCGTGTCCTTCACGAGGATTTAACAAATGTGACAGAAGATTGGTGCAGTCTGTGGTTGTTCTGCTTTGCATTGTGCTATTAAAGCACACAGGTGCTGTTCCGCAGCGCTGGGCCCTGAGCTTAGCCCGAGAGCGTCTCCTCTGCTGAAGTTTGTCTCTTCTGAGACAGAAGTCTTAACACTGGCTTGTTTCTGTGATTTGCACAACCACCTCTTCAGTCAGATTCTGCCAACGCTGCCTTCCCTCTCGGAGAGGGGAAGGAATTGTTCCTACCCATCTCTTTGCGGGGATTGAATATTTTCACACCTGCATTCTTGGTGCTAGCAACTCCTTCCTGGTGTCAAAACGCAAGGTTTTTGGTTTGTAGGGGCATAGAATAGTTTTTTCTTTTCCTTGACTCTGATAACTGTGCAGAATGTGAAACCTATGAAGCTGAGTGAGCACAAGGACCTGTCGTTCTTCTCTCTGTGGATTTTCAGGGATCCTTCTGCCTTGCCAGGGTCCCAGCCTGTAGGCTAGAAAATTGCCGTTATCTGTCTGTGTGGGATCATTTCTCCTCTTCTGAAACAGGAAAAATCTTGAGTTTTTTCTGTAACTCATGCAATGATTTCTTTTTGGGATTTGAGAGGAACTTCTGTGTCTTTTATATAATTTCCAAGGAAAAGCAGCCCTTTAGGATCAGGAGGTTTTGGGGTTATTCTGTCTCTGCTGTTAAGAGTCTCCTACTGAGGAGTCTACAGGGTGGTCCCAGACAATCTCTACCTCTCTCCTTCCAGGAAGGAAGGGCAGTAGTTGTAGATATGCAGAGATTTATTGTTGTTTTTATGTGAACAGACTTTCAGGGCAGTAGACTATACTTCTAGCTTAGAAAAAGTATTCATGTGGCCTTTTTGCACCTCTATTTCTATTTTGTCCTGCTATGCATCAGAATATACCACCCACTGGAGGGTCAAATGGTGGTGAGGGGGCAGTGTAATAAAAAAGCAACAGCTAAAGCCCATGAGCTGAACTAGAATTCTCTGAACAGTTCTGGTTTGGGTTTAGTTGTGTACAAACTAAGGGTTTTTTTTTTATTTCTAGTGGGCCTAAAATCACACTTTGTTTAGTTTTGATAGGAAAATATTGCTTTGAACCGGTTTGCACTGCTTGTCAGGGTGCTGAGGGTTGCATTTAACTGCTGTCTGTATTCGCTCAGCGCTATGAAGGCATCCTTATGTGAACAGTTACCCAAGCCACATGATTCAAGCCTGCTCAGCCTGATTATTGTTCGATCTAATTAATTTTCTGCTGTGGTTGCTGTTGTCTATTAGCCTTTGCACAACCCCATGGTCATACAACCAAGGGTAAAGAAGGCACTGTAAATTAGTACCTTTCTGGTCACTGCAATGAACTGCAGGTCCTGTCCCAAGTGAACCTGTGCAAGGACTGTGTGGGCACTGATTAGGATTGGACAGAAATCCTACCCGTGGGTGTGCTGTCTGGGTTTTGTTTTTACCAGCAGCTGGAAGAACAAGGAACTGAAGTTGTTTGACACATAAACGTCCCACAAAGTTACTGCTAAGCAAGGAGTGCTGTGATGTGTGTGAGGCCGGTGGTTTTTTAACATGTAGGTGGTCTCTAATTCAGTGTAGCTTATGGGAATGGAGACACCTGAACAAGAATGGCTGGGATGCACTGGCATCCATGTGAAGGATTTGTTCTTCTCCTTTGCCAGCCCTTGGAGGCCCTGCAGGAGGTGGTGTCTTCTGGAAGAGAAGTTCTGTGCCAGTTCCAAATGACCTTGCGTTTTCTTCTTTCTTCTCTGCAGTTATCTGTTTCATTACATCTGCCAAGACAGGATTATATACCTCTGCATCACGGATGATGTAAGTATTTTGGTTACAGCTATTGCACAGACATGCTCTTTGTGAGTTTTGGCTTTTTTTATTTTGGATCTGTATGTCAAAGAAAATCAATAGTTAATCAATAGCTAAAATCAGGTGCTAATCTGTGGTGCGTTTTTTTCCCCGTTGAAGCTACTGCTTATGTTCTCATTCACATCAGTTACAGCTTTGAAGTCTGAGCCTGGAATTCAAATGCATGTAAACAGTTAGTTTTGAGGTTAAGTTTTTGTCTTTGCCCAATTTCTCTCTTAGCAGCCCCTGTGCAGTAGAATCAAAATGTAGAGGCTAGCATTTAACTGTCAGTGAAATGCACACGATATTCCTCAATTCTGGAAACGTGGAAGCAAAAACCTCTCCCTCACTGGAGGAGAGTACCAGGTACAGAGTTAGACCCATGGCTACCCCAGCAAAGTCTGCTGCCAACCCATGTCCAGGAAGCTGAGAGTGAACTCTGGCTGCTGTTCAAAGCCCAGGTTCATCAGATCTCGGTTACGCACAGTGTGCCTGTTAAGTACTGGTAATTACAGTTTCTCTGCAGCTGGCTACGTGCCCCGTGCACTTCGTTACTCCTGCCTGGACCCAGCTCTGGACACAGTCTTCTCTCTTCCTTCCAGGACTTCGAGCGATCCAGAGCCTTCACTTTCCTGAACGAAATCAAGAAGAGGTTTCAGACCACGTATGGCTCGAGAGCACAGACAGCCCTGCCCTACGCAATGAACAGCGAGTTCTCCAGTGTCTTGGCAGCACAGCTGGTGAGATCTGGTGCTAAATGGGATTTCCCTAATGAGCCAAACTTCTCCCCCAAAATTCTGCTTGGATTTTTTCACTCAAAAGTCCAGGTTTTGTAAGACTTTGTTCTGGCTATTCTGGGTCTGTGCTTGTGCTCCTGAAGGGAACGGTTGGGCTGGAAGCGCCTCTCTCTGGAAGTGCTGAGGAGTTTGAGGCTTCTTTTGCTCACCAGAGCGATCCAACACAGCCCTGATACCATTTCCACATGATCCCATTTCCACAGAAGGGCTTTGCTTGCTGTGTGTTGTATCTGAGGTGTGGCAAAGCCCACAGCTGCCAGACAGGAGAGGTTTGAAATGTATTTTATCCACAGCAGTATTTGGGTATAACTTCTGAAGTGCACAGTGCAGTGTTTGTGTTTCCCTTCAGCCCTCTATAGAACGAGATGCATTTCACAGAGCACTTTTTCTTAATGCAGCGTTGATGTGATGCAACATCTGGGTCTGCAGAGAGCGCCCTGCCTTGTATCAGTGGGGTTTTTGTGTGGGAGAGGAGGAGAAAAAGCAGAGAGCAGTTGCTCTAGGTGTGGGACTGAGCCACTCTTCAATTAGGAGCTGTTAATATAGTGGGAATGTTGGATCCTGTCTAAAGTAGGATTCTTCCAGCACCCACAGAGAAACCAGGCCTGGGGAAAGCACAGACCTGTTGCTGAATGCAATGTCAACTTAAATGAATGAAGTCAGCTGAAAGATAGAGAAGGAATAAATACCTGCCCTGTGACTTGTGTGATCAATAGCTTTACTGGTGCACAAAACCTCAGGCCATGCAGTTGACAAGGAAAGCATTTTTAATTCTTCTGGTGAAGACTCTGTAAGAGTCCTTAATTGGCTCCAGACAACTTCATAAACCGAGCAATGTTGTTTTGAGGGTGTTTTTTGAGACCTCCCTGGAATTAAAGATGAGATGTCCTTGCAACGTTGGCTTTCTGAGCCTGTACACAATCTGTGTCCGGAGCCAACTACAGGTTTGGGGATGTTACAGGTGCAGGAGGTGAGGGCCTTTGCTGGTGCCCTTGCCTGTAAGTGTAGAAACTGGTTGCTTTATGACACCCTCCAGCAGCAATCGTTGTGTGGTGAGGCTCAGGGTGACGCCGAGACGCTGAGGTGGGTGATGGTGAGGTGAGGGTTTGTGCTTGCACCATGGCTGCCTGAGGTTTGTAGGGGAGTAGAAAGGAGCTGTTTGCGCTGGTGCCCTTGGTGATGTGGAGCTGCACACAGCTCATTGCCAAAACTGTGCTGTGGCGTAGGCCGCAGATGGAAAGCAATGGATAACAACGCCAGCGTGGCTCCAGAAGTGCCCAGTGCATTGTGCAGAATAAAATAAATTAGATTAAATTCCTATGTGTGATGATAGGACTGAGTTTTTCCTCTCTACCAGGCTTTGATACGTAGAGACTGAAACTATGTGAAGTGATGACTCATCAAGTTGTAAGCTCTTTGTGGCTGGAATAAGCTTAATGAAGTGCCTTATCGGA